ATGTCGGCGGCGGCATCCTGCTCATCTCCCAATTCACCTCATGCACGTCCTGAAGGGCAAGAAGCCGGACTTTCACCTGGCGATGGGCTCCGAGCGTGCGCCGGAGATGTTCCACTGCTTGCATGACGTCCTCGCGAGGGACTGCGCGGAGGAACGAGTCGCAACGGGACGGTTTCAGTCATGCATGCGTGTCAACCTGTTGAACGATGGCCTAGTAGGAATTATTCTGGGCAGTCGGAGCAGACAGTGACGCCCTGTTGGGCGCTGCAGCGCGACGGCGTCCGGTTGCATTGCAATGCGTATGCCTGCCGCCTTGCGATGGGTTACCCGCCTCCCTGAATGAGGCTGGCACTTGGTAGTGGCCGCACTTTTTTTTTCCTTTCTTGTCCTTGTCCTTGCCCTTGTCCTCTCTGCGCCCTGAAGAAAGCGAAGTAAAAATCAAAGCAACATGAAATTACATCATCAGTGAAGTACACTTCCGTGGACGACTTCATCAACAAGTGCGTGGAGAGGCGCGATGCATATCAGCCCGAGTTTGTGCAGGCGGTCCGTGAAGTGATGGCCTCACTCTGGCCCTTCCTGGAGGGGCACCCAGAGTACTGCGCGGACTCGCTCCTGGAGCGCCTGGTGGAGCCGGAGCGCGTCATCCAGTTCCGAGTGTCGTGGGTGGATGACAAGGAGGAGGTGCAGGTGAACCGGGCGTGGCGTATGCAGTTCAACTCCTGCATCGGCCCGTACAAGGGCGGCATGCGGTTCCACCCCTCCGTGAACCTGTCGATTCTCAAGTTTCTTGGATTTGAGCAGACCTTCAAAAACGCTCTGACGACGCTCCCCATGGGCGGCGGCAAAGGTGGTTCGGACTTTGACCCCAATGGGAAGAGCGACCGTGAGGTGATTCGGTTTTGCCAGGCCCTGGTGACGGAGCTGCACCACCACATCGGCGTCGGTGGTCGCGAGGTTGGCTACATGACAGACATGACACGGAAGTTGACGAACTGCAGGGCCTGCACATTTACAGGTAAAGGCGTTGCGTTCCAAGGAAGCCTGATGCGCCCCGAGGCCACGGGCTACGGCGTTGTCTACTTCCTGGAGGCCATGCTGAAGAGGCACCAGCAGGAACTGAAGGGGAAGACGGTGCTTGTGTCTGGGGCTGGCAACGTGGTGTGCTGCGCGCCGTGGAGAAGTGCCTCCAGCTGGGGGCGAAGGTGATTAGCGTCTCGGACTCACGGGGCTGCGTGCACGACGCGGCGGGCATCACGCCGGCGAAGCTGAAGGTCCTGATGGACATCAAGGAGAAGAAGCACGGGACGGTGGAGAAGTACGCAAAGCAGGTGGGCGCTGCGTACCACACAGGGAAACGTCCGTGGCACCTGAAGGCGGATATTGCGCTGCCGTGCGCGACGCAGAACGAGCTGGAGCTTGAGGATGCAAGGAACCTGATCAGGAACGGCGTCAGCGCCGTTGCGGAGGGCGCGAACATGCCGACGACGATGGAGGCGACCACGGAGTTCATCAATGCCGGCGTCCCATTCGTCCCCGGGAAGGCTTCCAACGCCGGTGGGGTTGCCGTCTCTGGCCTAGAGATGACGCA